TGTGAATCTTTGGAATATTTAAATCTAAATCATATTATGTTCACTGCTAAGACAGGGGAATTTTAAAGCTTCTATTTTGGGGAGAATGGATTGGCCATATTTAAAAGCAGGAAGTGTAATTTTTAACAATTTACAAAACTAGGTTATTACTCCCCCACTTAAAATTTCCAGTGGATTCCCTTCACAAGGAAATAAACTCTGAAATCCTTCTCTTGGCCCATGAGGCCATGCATGAGCTCTGCCCTGCTTGCTCTTTTACCTGACCTCCCGCCCTTATGCACTTTGCTCTGGTCTTGTCACTTATTCCAGCACAGGGCCTGTGTACCTGCTCTTTCTACCAGGAGAATTCTCCTCTCGTTCTGTATTTGCACTGTGGACTCCTTCTTGCCACTTAGTTTTCTGCTTACATGTTACCTCCACAGAGAATCCTTACCTGACACCCCCAATATAAAGTAAATCAGTGAGCACTCCTATGAATAAGCTGAGTGATTTTTGACAAGTTAATCTCCCTAAAGCTAATTTATTAATTCAAAAATAGGGCTTATAGGCAGGGCACGGTGGCTCACACCTGTAATCCCAGCACTTTGGGAGGCTGAGGTAGGTGGATCACTTGAGGTCAGGAGTTCGACACCAGCCTAGCCAACATGGAGAAACCCCATCTCTACTAAAACTACAAAAAAGTAGCCGGGTGTGGTGTCAGGCACCTGTAATCCCAGCTGCTCAGAAGGCTGAGGCACAAGCATCACTTCAACCTGGGAGGCAGAGGTTGCAGTGAGCCAAGATCATGCCACTGCACTCCAGCCTGGGCAACAGAGTAAAATTCTGTCTTTAAAAAAAAAAAAAAAAATAGGGCCTATAATAACTCATAGGGTTGCACGAGCATCAAATGAGATGAAATAAGGAGTGTGTAATAGATGAGTCACTCTATGAGGAAGGTCATTCTCACAGTCAACTCCTTCCTCCAGGCCTTCATGTGTTCTCACTGTCCTCCTGTAGCCCGTGTCTAGCCTTTCCATTTTCAGTCCCCCTCACTCCAATGTATCTTATATTCCACTGTCAGTTTGATGATATTAAAATTCTATTTTTAAAAAATTATTTCCCCACTCTTTTAAGAATGTAAACCTCCACACTTCCCCCCACTTTCGGCCCCCTTTAATCACCATGAGCCATTCCTTAAGCACTTAGGAATTGGAATAGTGCAGCTTTAGGACTGGAACTTTGTAGATGCCGTACAGACAACTTGAAGGCATCTTTGTTTCCTAGGCCAAAATTTGTAATTTTTATTGCTCATCTGAGTTATTCTGCTCATTAAGAAAAAAGGAAATCGAGGTCCTTGAGACTTGCCTTCTCTCTTGTGATTGACTGTGGCAGTTGGCAGAACCTGGCAAAGTTGCTGTGATGGTGAGAATGGTGAGAGAGGTTCCAATGATGGGCACAAGTGTTGTCGCCAGCGAGGTGTGTGCAGGCAGTGGAAGGAGGTCTGACCGGAATATCAACAGAGGGTGATAATACCTTTTTAGGACCCACCAATTGGGCTTCTAGGGACTGAAGGGTGAGTAGAGCCAACACTGCCCCCAGCACTCAGTCAAAGAACATTGAATAGGAGTGAATTGAATTAAACTGAACCATTAAAAAGGCAGCATTTTAAAAGCTGTGAGAGTAATTTGGAACAAATTTAGGAAGAAAGTAGAGTGATGTCAGATGTATGCAATTTGGGGCTGCTTTTTTTTTTTTTAAGGTGAAAAGGAAATCATTTCAACTTAGGTTAATGTAGGCCTCATTGAAGAAAAGACCTCAGTGGGCTGGATTTATAATAGATACTCTGAGCACTGCCAGATTGTTTGCAGGGGATTAAAGTACTTTTTCTTTTTAACACTTGGCAGTCATAGAATCCGAACTCTGGATCAGGCAGATAATAAGAAATCTGCTATTCCATAGCTTCTCAAACTTCAACATGCAAAGGAATCACCCAGGCAACCTTTTTAAAATGCAGATTCTGATCCAATGGGACCCGGGTGAGGCCTGAGACTCTTCCCTTGCAACAAATTCCAGATGAAGCTGATGTTCTAAGGACCTCATTTTGAAAGGAAAAGGTCTGTTTTAACCTCCTTGTTTCCTAGAAGAGAAACTGAGGGTCTGAGAAGTGAAATGTCTTGTCTATGCTCCCAGATTGTCTGGTTCTAGTCAAGTGCCTTTTTTCTATTGTGCTTTGAAGTTTTATTGAGAGTCTGTAGATATCACAGCACCACACAAAGCTACCTGAGTGGTGACAGCCAAGGCATGTTGGCAGTCCTACCAAGGGCAGAGTAGGACGAAGCCTGGAAGAAGGAGGAGGTGGTGACCAAGTGTTGCTGGCCAACAAAGTCATGCTAACACATATAGCAGGTGTATTTAAATCACTGACTCAAGCAAAAGAGAATGGGATTAGCAGATAATAGTTTTAACATTCTTTTCTATAATTTTAAAGTTAGTAGGCAAACAGGGTTGATGTCAGGGAGATATTTTTAGGCAAGGGGCCCTCTCAGCACCCCTCACATGATGTCAGTGACTAAACCATTCTGCCTCCTCATGTGGCTGGCCCTGGCAATAATGATTTATTTCTGAGCTTTAACTTCAGGGAAAGTGATGAGGTTAAAATTTAAAGGCCAAAAATATTTTTAACTCTTAACCTATTAACCAGCCAATTAATTACTTTAATTATGCATTGTTGACCTGTTTCTCTGCTATGGAAATATTTAATTGTAGGGAAAGAAAATTTGTGAAGTTAATTATTAAAGTAATCTCTTTGCCTTCTTGAGATTTTATCACAATCAATTTGCTGAGGATAATTCCCACATTAGGTTCCATAATCCTTGGCTTCGACGCTGCGATTCCAGTACCTTCACTTTATCCTAAAACATAGCCACCCTTTTCCAGATCGATTCCACTTCGCAATCTGATTTCTCCAGCTATACTAGAAATCTCTCTACCTTTATACTTATTAGTTATTGAATTAGCTAGTTAATTCTCATATCTGGTGTTTATGTATCAGTACTATTCTATTAAATTACCATTGTATTGGCCAAGAAAGTGCTAAAGTAACTGGATTGTCTAGAGGTATCTGGGACTCAACCTGTCTGCTTGATTACTTGTAAGCCAACACACCCTAGTTTCACCAGGACCGCGCCCCAGCATACACCTTGGAGACCTTGCTGCTGTGGAAGCCCTGGAAAAATTAAATGAAGTTAGGTGATTATACACAGTGAATTTGCTTGTGCCCAGGAAACAGACATAATTATAACCCAGACACCTATAACAGAGACTTGGGGTACATATGGAGGTTACAGAGACAGACAGGAAGGAACCAGGAGTTAAGGTATCTGAATAGTTACTTTTGGTCTCCTTTTACTTGGCATTGGTGGCTTTAGCCTGTACACATCAAAGGTCAGAGTGTACAGAATCCCTTTTCCTGCATAGGCCACTTCCCAGGACGTCCTTAGCTGAACTTTGAACCAGTGAAAAACAAGAAAATAAACACTGTTCCCTTACCTTGCCAATTTTTAGTGCATGCAACACTATACAGTTATTCTAGAAGCGAGAAACTGTCTATACGTATAACTTTTGATACCTCATTATCATTAGTTATTTTACTTTTATCCCTCTGAATATGCAAAATTGTTCAAGCTTATAACAATCTTTGGTTTTGGTGCATAAGCCTGTATAAGTTTCTCAACTTGAAAAATATCTCACTTATATTTCATGGATGCACTTTGGACTCAAGAGAGCTGGGGAGAAGAGGGCCACACTTAGAGAATATTGTTGGAGAATAAAAGGTTTTAAACTCTGCAGAGTTTCAATAGTACATACAGAAAATACAGTTGTGCTTGTTAACCGGTAGTATGACACAGCAGATGAAATTTTAAGCTACGTGAGAATGACTTGCAATTAAACACAGCAAGTATTGACTGGAGAAAAGATCACAACATTTAGACTTCAGAAAAGAGAAATTCTGACCAAGCGCAGCTCCTCTTGCTTGTATTCTCAGCACTATGGGAGGCCAAAGGGGGTGGATCACTTGAGGCCAAGAGTTCGAGACCAGCCTGGCCAACAGGCAAAAACCTGTAGAAATAAGTGAAACCCCGTCTCTACGAAAAATACAAAAATTAGCCAAGCGTGGTGGCACAGGCCTGTAGTCCCAGCTACTCAGGAGGCTGAAGCAGAGGATCTCTTGAACCTAGAAGGTGGAGGTTGCAGTGAGCTGAGACTGCGCCACTGTGCTCCAGCCTGGGCGGCAGAGGGAGACTCTGTCTCAAAAAAAATAATTACAATGAATTAAATAAACAAATAATAGAAATTCTGGGCCAGGCACAGTGGCTCACACCTGTAATCCCAGCAATTTTGGAGACTGAGGGGGGCAGATCACTTGAGGCCGGGAGTTCAAGACCAGCCTGACCGTCAAGGTGAAACCCCGTCTCTACTAAAAAAACACAAAAATTGGCCAGATGTGGTGTGTGCCTGTAGTCTCAGCTACTCGGAAGGTTGAGGCAGGAGAATCACTTGAACCTGGGAGGTAGCGGCTGCAGTGAGCCAAGATGGTGCCACTGCACTCCAGCCTGGGCAACAGAGCAAGACTGTCTCAAAAAAGAAAGAAAAGGAAATAGAAATCCTGGGTTCTAGGCCTTCCACTTGTTTCCTCACCACCTCCTCCACTCCCCCAGATCCCCCCACCCATCACCATGTTGTAACTTTACAGATATCATAACTACTCTGGTTGATTATAGAAGAAAGAACCTAAGCTGTCAGAAAGCAAGTACTCTACCTGCTCTTGAATTGGAAACAGAAATTTACACACGGCTGGATCTCATTCTCAGTGCCTGCCTTTCCCCCACATCTTTACATAACTAATTTGCTTAACAATCCTCTTCCACAGGACACAAAAGTGATATGCGGCTCAGCTTCATCTGCATATTCACCTCTGAATATCCTCCTCATGGTGCACCTGCTCCTGTTTGAATGCTTACCTTAATGCAACGGGCTGAGTCAGCATCTGCTTGCACCTGAACCCTTGATTGCAACTAAGCGGATTGCTGGGAGGTGCCTGGGTTGCGTCAGCTGCAGTAGAGGACACAGTTCTGTTGGGAAGGCAGGGAAAGGAGTGAAAACTTCAACAGAAGTAGTCCAAGTGTTGCGAGTTAAAAATAAAACGATATCACAAGGGGCAATGTGACCAGGCTCAGCTTACGACTTTTTCCTTCCCCTGTATTTATCAACACTCAGTCTCTCCTGGAGTGGCATTTAGCAGGGGAAACTGAATGGGAAGTGAAGTTTTATATCAATAGGTTTTCCTTCCCTAGAGGAAGACAGAAAATCCTTTTAAGAAGGATCATTTTCAAGAGCAGCCTCTCAGATTCCTACATGTGCAATCGGCCAGCCCAGCTGTGCTGGAGGAGGCTGGCAGAGCATTCAGGACTGGCTGCTGCTCTAATTATAACCATGCTGCTCACCTAAACCCATCACTGGCTGAAGCAGCAACTTGTGTAAGTGACATGCTGTCCTGCTTCAGTTTCTCCTATCTCTTGTCATGACAAGTAAGTGTGTGTCCTCCCTTGGTCCTTGTCTTTCCTAGGTGGCTGGAAAAGGGAGAGTTTGTAATTCAGAAACCAGGTGTAGAGTAAATCCAGTGGGAGAGAATTAGAGGTTGTAGGAGGCTTTAGCTGTCATTTAGTCCAACTCTCTCTTTTTACAGATGAGGAGACAGAGATTCAGAAAAGGGAAATTGCTCATCCAAGGTCACACATCTTGTAAGTGGAAGAGCCAGAGGAAAGCCCCAGAGAGCTTGTTTAACTCTCAGTCTAGTGTTCTTTATCTTATCATCTTCAGATAAACTCATTCAGGATCTTGTGAAGAAAAAAGCAAATAGAATCCTGGCTTTGGTGTTTTTTTTTCTTTTTTCTTTTTTTTGAGATGGAGTCTCGCTCTGTCACTCAGGCTAGAGTGCAATGGCAGGATCTCGGCTCACTGCAACCTCCACCTCCCGGGTTCAAGTGATTCTCCTGCCTCGGCCTCCTGAATATCTGGGATTACAGGCACACGCCACCATGCCTGGCTAATTTTTGTATTTTTAGTAGAGACCAGGTTTCACCATGTTGGTCAGGCCAGTCTTGAACTCCTGACCTCATTATCCTCCCGCCTCAGCCTCCCAAAGTTCTGGGATTAGGTATGTGATTTTGGCCAATTTACTTAACCATTTTCTATTTCAGTTTTCTCCATTGTGGAATGGCGATGATACTTGGTTTGACCACATGTAACTGTCAGTACACACAAGGCACATGAATGATATATACCACATAGCAAGTGCTCAACAATGCCAGCTGTTATTTGAATGTATTTGAATGTATTTTGACTAAGAGCAGATGTGCTAAATTTGGCTGTGATTAACAGCCATCGAATTAACCTTTCCCCTGGATTCTTCCATACATATATGTCCATGGAGGTAAACTTATTTGGAATGAGCAAATAGCAGTTTAAAAATTGTAAAAAATTTCTACACTGATCTTGAATCTTGAAACTTTGCTGAACTGGTTTATTAGTTCTAATAGTTTTGTTGTGGATTCCAAAGGATTTTCAAGATCATGCCATCTGTTAACAGAAATATTTTAACTTCTTTCTTTGCAATTTGGATGCCTGTTACTTCCTTTACTTGTCGTTTTACCCTGCCTAGAACTTCCAGCACTGTGTTTAACAAGAGTGGTGAGAGTGGCCACACTTCACTTGTTCCTGATCTTAGGGGACAAGCATTCAGTCTCGCACCAATAAGTACGATGTTGCCTGTGGATCTTTGTAGATGACCTTTATCAAGTTGAAGGTGAGGAGTTTGATTGTTCTAGTTTGTTGAGTGAATCAAGAAAGAGTGTGGGTCTTCATCAAATGCTTTTTCTGTGCCCAGCAAGATGATCATGTGGTTTTTGTCCTTCGTTCTATTAATATTGTGTATTACATTGATGAATTTTTTAATGTTGAATCAATCTTCCATTCCTGAATAAACCCTACTTGGTCATGGTATCTATCCTTTTTACATATTGCTAAATTTAGTTTGTTAGTATTTTACTGAGAATTTGTTTTTTCAAGTCAGATGCATAATGTGCCAACATTGAAACAAGGCTCGAGGGTGGCACTCTCACACATTCGCGTGAATGCCCAGTCATCACACTGATGAACTACAAAAGGACCTTAGTGAGGAATTCTGCATCTATATTCAGAAGAGATATTACAAGTTGAGTATCCCCAATCTGAAAATCTGAGTTCCAAAACGCTTTAAAATCCAAAACTGAGCACTGATGTGACACCACAAGAGGAAAATTCCACACTTGGCCTCACGCGATGGGTCATAGTCAAAATGCAGTCAAAACTTTGTTTCATGCACACAGTTACTTAAAATATTGTACAATTACCTTCAGGCTATGTATATAAGGTATATATGAAACATAAATGAGTTGTGTGTAGGCTGGTGTCCCATCCCCAAGATATCTCATTATGTATGTGCAAATATTCCAAATGCAAAAAACTCCAAATCCGAAACACTTCTGGTTCCAAGCATTTCCGATAGGGGATACTCACTATAGTCCGTACTTCCCTTATGGCGTCTTTGTTCAGCTTTGGTATCTGGACAATATTGATCTCACAAAATGAGTTCCCTCCTCTTTTGTTTTTTGGAAAAGTTTGTGAAGGATTGGTGTCAATTCTTCTTTAAACATTTTGGTAGAATTTAGCAGTGAAGCCATCTGGAACTCGGCTTTTCTTTGTGGGAAGTTTTCAATTGTTAACTCAATCTCCGTGCTTGTTATAACTCTGTCTTAGTCCGCTTTTGTGTTGTTATAACAGAATACCTGAGACTGGGTAATTGATGAAGAAGACAGATTTATTTCGTACAGTGCTGAAGGTGGGAAGTCTTCCAGTCTCAGATGGAAGACGGAGGGGCCACATCTGGCCAGACCCTTCATGTTTCATCCTCCTATGGCAGAAGGAAGGGAGAGGAGGAGGGAAGAGAGACAGAGAGAAAGAGAGAGAGACAGAAAAGAGAGAGAGGTGGGGGTGGGGACAAAGATTTTGGGGAAGAGCACTGAACCCATCCTTTTTATCGGGAACCCACTTCTGAGATAACTAACCCACTCCCACAATAATGGCATTAATCCATTCATGGGGGCTCTGCCTAGTCACCCTTAAAGGTTCCACCTCTCAACGCTGCTGCTTTGGGGATTAAGTTTCTAACACATGAGCTGTGGGGGACACATTCATACCATAGCAAGCTCTATTCTCAACATCTATTTCTTCTGGAGTCAGATTTGGTATTCTGTGTCTTCCTAGGAATTTGTCCATTTCATTTATCTAATTTGTTGGCATTCAATTGTTCATAGTATTTCTTTCTAATAATTTTTATTTCTATAAGTTTGGTGATAAAATCTTGCCTTTTTGTTTCTGATTCTAATAATTTGAGTCTTTTGAGGGGGTGGTCAATCTAGCTAAATGTTTGCCATTTTGTTGATCTTTTCAAAGAACCAGCTTTTGATTTCATAAATTTTTTCTGTATTGCTTTTCTATTCTCCATTTTATTTATTTCTGCTCTAGACTTTCCTTCTTTCTGCTTTCTTTGGACTGTTATTATCAATTATTGAGAGTGTTGTATGAATATACCACACTTTATGTATTGGTGAAGTTTTCTTAAGAATTTTAATTTTTGTTAAAATTTGTCTCATATATTTTGGGTAATGTTTTTAAGTATATACAAGTTCAGAGTTATTATGTATTTCAGGTTAATTGTTCCTTTTGTTGTTGTCTAATATACTTTATTTCTAAAAAAAACTCTTTTGGCCAGGTGAGGTGGCTCACACCTGTAATCTCAGCCCTTTGGGAGGCTGAGGCAGGAAGATAACTTGAGCTCAGGTGTTTGAGGCCAGCCTGGGCAACATGGCAAAACCCCATCTCTACTAAAAATACAAAAATTAGTCAGGTGTGGTGGCGTACACCTGTAGTCCCAGCTACTTGGGAGGCTAAGGCAGGAGAATTGTTTGAACCCGGGAGTTGGAGGTTGCAGTCAGCTGAGATTGCACAGTCTGGTGGGTGACAGAACAAGACTCCATCTCAATAAAAAAGTTTTGCCTTAAAGTTTAATTTGACAGATAGTAATAAAACTATGCCACTTCCTTCCTGTGTAAAACTATTGATCTGAGACCTTTTTTGTAAAAAAAAAAAGATGTAAGCATTTGAAGCTATAAATTTCCTTCTAAGCATTGATTTAGCTTTATCCCATGTTTTGGTTTGTTGTGCTTTTGTTTTTTTCAGTTACAAGTGTTTTCCAATTTTACTTATAATTTCTTCTATTTATTTATCTATTGACAGTATCACTGTGTTGCTCAAGCTGGAGTGCAGTGGCACAGTCACGGCTCACTGCAGCCTCGACCTCTGTGGTTCAAGGGGTCCTCTTACCTCAGCCTCCCGAGTAGCTGGGACCATGGGCTCTGGCCACCATGCCCAGCTAATTTTGTATTTTTTGTAGAGACAGGGTTTTGCCATGTTGCTCAGACTGTGATTTCCTCTTTAACCATTGGTTATTTAGGAATGTGTTGTTTAATATCCACATATTTGTGAATTTCCCAAATTTTCTTCCATTATTGATTTCTAAATTCATTCCATCATGTTTGGAGAACACACTGCATAATTTCAATCCTTGTGATTCTCCTGCCTCAGTCTCCCAAGTAGCTGGGACTACAGATGTGTGCCACCACACCCAGCTAATTTTTTTTTTTTTTTGTATTTATAGTAGAGGCAGGATATCACCATGTTGGCCAGGTTGGTTTCGATCTCTTGATCTCGTGATCTGCCCACCTTGGCCTCCAAAAGTGCTAGCATTACAGGCATAAGCCACCATGCCTGGTGTATTCAAAACATTTTCTGTGTTCTTTTTTAAGTTCTGAAGTTTTCTCCACAGAGGTATTTTCTTCATGAATTCCTAGGTACTTGTACATTTTTCATTGAGCGGTACTTATCTTATGTTTATTTATTTATTTATTTATTTTTTTGAGATAGAGTCTTGCTCTGTTGTCCAGGCTGGAGTGCAGTTGTGCAATCTCAGCTAACTGCAACCTCCACCTCCCAGGTTCAAGCAATTATCCTTCCTCAGCCTCCCGAGTAGCTGGGATTATAGGCATGTGCCACCACATCCAGCTTTTTTTTTTTTTTAGTTTTTTTTTATTTTTAGTAGAGATGGGGTTTCAATATGTTGGTCAGGCTGGTCTCGATCTCCTGACCATGTGATCCGCCCGCCTTGGCCTCCCAAAGTGCTGGGATTAGAGGTGTGAACCACCACGGCTGGCCCTTATGTTTCTTTATTACTAGTGTTCAGAAATGATACTAATTTCGTAGATTAATCATGTGGCTGGAAAATGTGCTAAAATGTCATTCTAAAAGTTTTGGTTTTTTTTTTTTTGAGACTGAGTCTCACTCTGTTGCCCAGGATGGAGTGCAATGGTGCGATCTTGGCTCAATGCAACCTCTGCCTCCCGGGTTCAAGCGATTCTCTTGCCTCAGCCTCCCGAGTAGCTGGGATTATAGGCTCCTGAACCACGCCCAGCTATTTTTTTTGTTGTTTTTAGTAGAGACAGGGTTTCACCATGTTGGCCAGGATGGTCTCGAACTCCTGACCTCGTGATCCACCTGCCTTGGCCTCCCAAAGTGCTAGGATTACAGGCGTGAGTGACCACGCCCGGCTTTTTTTTTGAGACGAAGTCTTACTTTTGTCCCCCAGGCTGTAGTGTGATGACGTGATCTCGGCTCACTGCAACCTCTGCCTCCCAGGTTCAAGTGATTCTCCTGCCTCAGCCTCCCCAGTAGCTGGGATTATAGGCGCCCACCACCGCGCCCAGCTAATTTTTGTATTTTTAGTAGAGATGGGGTTTCACCATGTTGGCCAGGCTGGTCTCGAAATCCTGACCTCAGGTGATCCACCTGCATCGGCCTCCCAAAGTACTGGGATTACAGACATGAGCCACCAAGCCCGGACCATTCTAAAAGTTTGACTATTTTTATTTTGTTAGATTTGCAAGTTTATCATCTCACCTTCAAAACTCTGTTTTTATTTCTTCCTGTGCCAGTTTTTACACCTTTTATTATGTCTGGACCATTGTACTATATATATATATATATATTTTTTTTTTCATTGTACTATATATTAAAACTAGTGGTAATAGTAATTTCCCCTCAAATTAGGACTGAAAGTCCCCTTAAAAAAAAACACCCAAACTCAGCCTGGGCAACATGGCAAGACCCCGTCTCTGCTAAAAATACAAAAATTAGTCAGGCATGGTGATGTGTGTCTGTAGTCTCAGCTACTCAGAAGGCTGAGGTGGGAGGATTGTTTGAGTCCAGGAGGCAGAGGCTGCAGTGAGCCAAGATGGTGCCACTGCACTCCAGCCTCGGTGACAGACTGCTGTCTCAAAAAACAACAGCAGCAACAAAAACCCTAAAAATTGGAAACAAAATGTAAGTTTATGACTTCTTCTCATTAAAAGTGGATGATAGTGTGCTCACTTCCGCAACACATATACTAAAATCGGAACGATACAGACAGAAAGTGGATGATGTTTTCTTTGGTTTCCTTGAAAAAAAAAAAAAAGTGTTTTTAAACTGGATAACCCAACTGGGTGCAATGGTGCACTCCTGTATTCCTAGCACTTTGGGAGGCTGAGGCAGGTGGACGGCGTTAAGTCCAGGAAGTCGAGACCAGCCTGGGCAACGTGGCAAAACCTTGTCTCTACAAAAAATGCAAAAATTGGCCAGGCTCAGTGGCTCAAAGTGTTGTAATCCCAGCACTTTGAGAGGTCAAGGCAGGCAGATCACTGGAGGTCAGGAGTTCGAGACCAGCCTGGGCAACATGGTGAAACCCCATCTCTAGTAAAAATATGAAATTTAGCCAGGCATGGTGGCACATGCCTGTAATCCCAGCTACTTAGGAGGCTGAGGCAGGAGAATCACTTGAATCCTGGGAGGTGGAGGTTGCAGTGAGCCGATATCCCGCCACTGTACTCCACCCTGTGTGACAGTGTGAAACTCTGTCTCAAAAACAAAAATTAGCCAGGTGTGGCGGTGGGCACCTGTAGTCCTAGCTACTCAGGAGGCTGAGGTGGGAGAATCACCTGAGTCCAGGAGGTCAAGGCTTTAATGAGCTGTGATTGTA